CCGTAACGTGAGTAAAAACACCTTAGTAAACAACGTAGTGTAGATCAAACGTAACGTAGGTAAAACACCTCAGTAAACAACGTAGTGTGGATCAAACGTAGCATGGGTAAAAACACCTCAGTAAACAACGTAGTGTAGATCAAACGTGGGTAAAAACACCTCAGTAAACAATGTAGTGTAGATCAAACGTAACGTGGGTAAAAACACCTCAGTAAACAACGTAGTGTAGATCAAACGTAACGTGGGTAAAACACCTCAGTAAACAACGTAGTGTAGATCAAACGTAACGTGGGTAAAGACACCTCAGTAAACAACGTAGTGCAGATCAAACGTAACGTGGGTAAAAATACTTCAGTAAACAACGTAGTGCAGATCAAACGTAACGTGGGTAAAGACACCTCAGTAAACAACGTAGTGCAGATCAAACTTAACGTGGGTAAGAAAACTCGTCAGTAAACAATGTATATTTCCGAATTATAATATTGTTTGAATGAAACTGTTAAGAGACAGCCTGTAACAGATACTTTCACTTCAAAAACTCCATTTTTGCTCTGAACAGTGTTAAAATATTTACAATTTGTTGTACATAATTATTCACACGGGTTTTAGGTCATCGAATCGTTCCATCGTTTAGTCTGAAACTTTTATCTTACTTGAATTAAAATCTATAGTAAAATGTTTTATGTTATATACTCAACTGAACAAGTTCACTCTCTTGTGTTAAATAGTAAAATGTTTTATGTTATATACTCAACTGAACAAGTTCACTCTCTTGTGTTAAATAGTGAAATGTTTTATGTTATATACTCAACTGAACAAGTTCACTCTCTTGTGTTAAATAGTGAAATGTTTTATGTTATATACTCAACTGAACAAGTTCACTCTCTTGTGTTAAATAGTGAAATGTTTTATGTTATATACTCAACTGAACAAGTTCACTCTCTTGTGTTAAATAGTAAAATGTTTTATGTTATATACTCAACTGAACAAGTTCACTCTCTTGTGTTAAATAGTGAAATGCTTGAACATAAAGAGTATACATTCTAACACTAACACTATGTGGCTTACAGTTTTCCATTTCGTCTAAAGATATAGATATCATAATCCACATATCTCGATTTACGTGTTATACAAAGCATACATTCAAGAGATTTTAAATTGATAAAGCCAAGTTTCTTGGCCTACGATTTTGTAGACTAATTGATTTTGGCAGCTACAATACCTCTTTCCGATCTTTGTTCACAAGCAACATCCGATAAGTTCGTATAAGCTGATAACTTTGAGTGGTAATGGCTTTCTTGCCATTATTAGCCTTCGCGGTTGAAGAGAGATTTGGCTCTATTCTTCAGCTCCTGATAAGAAACAATTTTATCTGAATTCACGAGAGAAAGAGAACCAGCGAGTGAGCTGTAGCGCCGACTCTGATTCAACCCCTGCGGCTATTATCAGGAGACCCTCGTTCTCCATGTTCACTGTTGTCTCGTAGATTCGTTTACTTCTTCATTTGAATGTGATTTTAATGAGATTTATCGGCTAAAACAAGCTTCTTTTTATAAAGAATATAACTCCTTGGTTGTCAGAACTTTGCCATTACAAAGTCTTTTGTCTTACAGATCAGAATCAAGGGGTTTTATAAAATAGCAAATAAGAAATAGATTTAAGAAATAGATTTTTCGTAAACTATTTTCACCTTAGCGTGTGGCATATTTCACGAAGACTGTGCTCCTTTTATCTTTAACGTATTTAACGTGCTGTGTCTATTGTTTTAATTCGTCTTTAGAATTCAACGCAATTATTTCTTCATCAATTCATTCGAAGTACTATTTCACAGATGTTCTACTTGTGATTTTTATTGGTTAGTTCGTTTCAGAATTTTGTACGCAAAGCTACGTAAAGGACTCGGCCACTCCTAATTTTGAACCGATAGACTAGAGGGAACGCAACTAGTCAACAGCACCCACCGCCAACTCTTGGGCAACACTTGTCTGGTCAAATAATGATTGTCCTGTCCTGGTGGTTAGGGTTCTCGACTTGCTATCTGCGGTTCGTGGGTTCGAATACCGTCACCGAATGTGTTCGCCTTATAAGCCGTGGGAGCGTTGTTATTTGATGGTCAATTTCACTATTCGTTCGTAAAGAGTATCACAAGAATTGGCGATGGATGGTTTTGACTAACTGCCTTCCCATTTGTCTATCGCTTCTGGATTAGGGACAACTAAGATAGCCCTCGAGTAACTTTGCACGAAACTCCATAAACAAACAAATAATGGGATTTGACCTTCGCTCTTTTAGAGCAGCCATGACCACGAAGTGTGGAGCGCGTTTTCCCGTGATACAGCAAATACTGATTCAGAAGAAAGGTAATATTTCATGTAGATTGACCTTGTCGGCTTTCAGATTAGATAATTTAGATAATTAAAAGCTCCACACAATGAAAGTTTACAAAAAGAGGTTGTTATTGTACGTATTGACGCTTTGACATTAGTGTGCATAATTAATCATAAAATATGTGAAAAAAAAAAGAGCAACTTGAATAATAGTGATGCCCCAAAATTAAAGCGGTTCTTAAGAGGTAACGGTTAGAGGGGGGGGGTTCTTCGGAAGTACTACTTTTTTTTTCTTTTTTTTGTACTTCAGCTGACTTTATGACTTAAGTTTGTTTAAAAAACTACACACATTTCTATACCTGTGTAATTATAGGTGTTTTATGTATAGGCTAATTAATTGTTACAGTTACTTCTTATACGTGGCTAACAGTTAGGAATTTCTGTTAAGAAAATATATTATAATAACTAAGGTAAAAGGTTTGACCATTTGTAAGAATTCACCGGTATCAAGGTATAGTTACAGCCGGCTATAAGAATTCACTTCACAGCAATATATAATATAGTTAATAAGGTAACAGTTACAACCTTCTGTGAGAATTTGCTGGTAACAAGATATAGTACAGTTAATAAGATAATAGTTACAGTCTGCTATAAGAATTCACTAATAACAATATATAATACAGTTAATAACATACATTTTGTTGCCGGTTGTAAGAATTTAACGTCAGGAGGATACAATATAATTAAAAAAACAACAGTTGTAATGTTGGATGAGAGCTTACATTATCAGGATACAGAAATTATTTAATATGTATGTATGTGGTTAGGAGTAAACACTTACTGTGGGATATAATAGTGTGTTATAGTAGTCACTATTGCAGTGTATAACGCATGCTCTGAACTTGCTCCTCCAGAAGAAAGATCTACTCTCTGAAAATTTCCAGTGAGTAGTTACTCTATCGTAGTGTATAACGCATGCTCTGAACTTGCTCCTCCAGAAGAAAGGTCTACTCTCTGAAAATGTTCAGTGAGTAGTTACTCTATCGTAGTGTATAACGCATGCTCTGAACTTGCTCCTCCAGAAGAAAGGTCTACTCTATGAAAATGTTCAGTGAGTAATTACTATATCGTAGTGTATAACGCATGCTCTGAACTTGCTCCTCCAGAAGAAAGGTCTACTCTATGTAAATGTTCAGTGAGTAGTTACTCTATCGTAGTGTATAACGCGTACTCTGAACTTGCTCCTCCAGAAGAAAGTTATACTCTATCTAAATGTTAGATTTTGTGTTTCATATTTTTTTTTAATCTTGTACTATGTCTTGTGAGTGCAAATGCTAAGACTGGATCTGTCATATGCAGCAGGAAGTCACTGTTTGCAAGTTATAAAGCTACTAAGACAAAACCGGTATGTGTTAAAGTGAGCTAATACCCTAGTTGGTGTGTTTTATGTTTCTAAGAGGTACTTGTACGTGTGATTATATA